GAGGGAGGGAGGGAGTGAGGGAGGGAGAGAGAGAGAGGGAGAGAGAATTATGTAGACTAGTTGTTTATTATAATAAAAAGAACATTACTTTTAGCTTCCCAGTATGCTTAAGCATTGTATCATACCCAACTGGTACCATTAGCAAAGGAAGAACAGCCTGTGCCTTCTTCCTCACATCAGCACTCCTATCTTCAAGACAGCTATAGACTGGCTGTACCACATTAGCTATTTCTGAGGGCAACTTGTTCTCATTGGGTAGTCTCTCCTCTAGCCATCCTAATAACTGATGTACAAAGTACATGCATAATAGCATATGTGATTCAAATCTAATTTTAATTGTGTATACTGTATATATAGTACATGTAAGTGTTTTAATCTATTGCGGTTTGCTCTACTAATTTTAGCACTTTGAATATTACTTTTAGTTAACATTTAAAGATCCCTTGCCAAATTTACTAAAATTAGCCCAAAAACAATTACATGTACATGTAAAAGCCCACTTAATAATAAAATTCTGTTTCAGCTCTCACTTCAGTTCTGAGGTTAGGGTTTTCAGTTGCCAGTGACGGTGCCAGAAGATCCTGTTCCACAAGAGAAGCCAACCCAATCTCACCCACCCACGTACTGAGACATGCAGTACCAGCAGCCCGAACCTGGGGCTGTGTATTCTAATTAAAGAGCACTTAACAAGTGGGTATACACTCACCTTGCTATCAGTCAGGGTCTGGATAACGGCTGGAATAAATATCTTATTAAATTTACTGCAAGACGGGCCAATCGAAGTGGCCAGTGTTCCAATAATAGAGAGGGTTGTCATTACCTAATTAATCGGTGGGATAAGGGGCGTGGCTAAGGATAAGTGCTTACCAAGTTTTTGTTAGAGTCCGAGAGACGTCCTTTGAGGCCGGAGGGGAGGTCCCCTAGGGAGGGAGAGATGAATTTAGCGGCCGCTATTATTTCCTGTATCTTTTGAAGGGCCTCTCCTCTTATTTTCCAGTTTTTATCTGCTAGCTCTTTCATGAGTTCTGTCGTTATTTTGGCACTGATGTCTACTTTAGGCATCAGGTCGGCAAGCGATAACGAGGCTCCACCCCCTCCTGCCCCGCCCCCTCCTCCACCCTCTCCCTCCTCCTCTTCTTCTCCTGATTTAACGTTAGGACCTCTCACTGGAGCTGGTGGGGACTCACCTGAAGACTATTCAATAAGAAAATGAAGATAATATATTTCTTGTAAAT